AAAATTGAGTTTCGGTTTGTGGTAAAACGTTTTATTGTGTACTGTCCAAAACATCTTTGGTACAGTTACTAAACTTTTTAGGTTCTATTTAAGGAACTAAAACTTAGTATTGGACTATCTTCAGGGGTGGGTAACACATACAACAGTCTCGTCAATGAATTCTTTGCCGCATATGCATGGAATGCTGTAAACTCCTGGCATCTCAAATGGAATTTTGTTTTGACAGGCCAAAGATGTTGAGAGATTTTTGGACAATTGTTCAGTGATGTTTTGAATGTAAGGAAGGACAGTGGCAAGTGTGGGATTGCTTTCGGCCTCATTGCTATTGGAAGATTATGATGAAGTGTATTTTTTGATTCGCGCGATACCATGGGTACTAATTTGCGTATCGACGTATTTCGTTACACAGTTAAAGGTTGGGAGTCGACTTAGATCGAGGCGATTGAAGCGATCGCCTAGAGGTTGACATTTAACATGATTAGCATATCAAGAATGTGGTAAAAGTAAAATAAAAACCCATATATTCAAAATTTCTAAATAAGGAGTGTATTAACGAGAGTCTTACGTTCACAGTTTAGAATCTTTAACTGTAGCAGAGTATAGTTCAAATTATACTGTCATTAACTATGCCTGTAATTTACTATCTCTGGGATATGTTTATGATTATATTGAGAGTGCGACTATAAATCGTATTTTATATACAAATTATACAAACTTCCTATTTTCTACGGAGTGTCCAAAAATACGTGGTGATTGATAACTTAAGGAACGCACTTTATAATCAGGATTTTTTATAGTTGACGGTATTATTTCACCAGTTGGCAAAGTATTCTTATTTTTGTAGACAGAAAAATGTATTCGGTCAGCCAAAATGACTGCTTTATCAGTGAACTATAGTCGGCAAAAATTTCAAAATCAGCCAGCAACCATTTATTTTGGTTAACAACATAAATATATAAGCGACCTACGTTTAATCAAATTTCAGGAAGCAATCAACCAGTAAACCAACCAAAACTGCTCATAGAATTGCCCTTTCTACTGTGAAATGTTGATGATCAGGTAACTATTTTGTAATTCGAATTGTAACCTTGTTTGTAGAACAAGGGTTGGAGAATTGTTTTCTGTTTACAATTATAATAACAAAAACCCATTTACGGAAGGAATTACGGTTTTTGACGCTATTTGGTAGTTTTTGGCTAATTTCCTTAGGCTATGGTAGTATTATTTTGCGTAATTGTTAAAACACGGATCATTGTTACGGTGGGATTTCGTTCGAATGAAGATTTTTCTAAAAATTAGTTTTTGAGTGTGACTAAATTCACAGATCACCCAATAAATAGATTTTACAGCAAAATCAGACCAAATAGGCAGCTGAAATAAAGTGTCTGCCATTGATATTTTTAGGTCTATTCTGCGACCCGTTTTCTTCAGACACACACTCTTTAGACACTCACTTGTACCAAAAAAGTATTGTGTAAAGTGTTCCACAACAAACTCGTGTTAAATAGCCGTTTATCAAATTTATTTGGCTGCAAATTTCCCTTATATAACTTAAATACCGTTGGGGTATTCGAAAAATTAAAATTTAGTTACGTTTTGACATATCATAGGTATCATAGACCTTCCTCAAAGCCACACATATTTTGAAGGTAGAATTCAAAAACACTATAATATACAATTAAAAAATACAAATTTGATACATTGGGAATTTTGGAACGACCCGTACATGAAAGCAATTTCTGATAGATTGCAACTTTTGGAACGACGTGTATATAAAAGCGATTTTAAAATATAAGCCCAATGTACCACAGCGACATTTTGTGAATAATATATTGTTTGTTTCCCTAAGACGCAATTAATTAGTTCTGTTCCAGCTTCTACAAACTGGAAAGCGCTGGAACCAATGACGTCACTATAATGTTTTCTAATAATTCTACCTACATACCCAACAACCAGAATTCAAATTATTTAAAAAATCTTAAGGTTTATCGGAATCATAGACCTTATTCAAAACCACGCATATTTCAAAAGTAGAGTTCACAAAAACAACTAAAAAATACAATTGTGATACATTGGGACTCCTGTAATAACCTGTAGTAGCCACGATGGACCACATAACCCAAAAGGCACATTTGTTATTGTTTATTTCCCTTAGACTCAATTAATTAGTTCTGTTTCACAAACTAGCTCTGCATTTCTTGCAAATTGGAAAGCTTTTGAACCGATGACGTCACTATAATTTTTGTTAGTAATTCTACCTACAAAGCCAATAACCAAGAGCCAAACTCTTAAGGTTTATAGGAATCATTCAAACTTCAGGCAATAAAGTCACCAAACCTGAACTGCTCACACATATTTTAAAAGTACAATTGAGAAACACAAACAACTAAAAAATACAACTGTGCTGACGTCACTATAACCTTTTCTAAAAATTCTGCAAAACCAATAAATTGCGAACAATTGAAAAGTAGACGGGCAAACGCTCTATAAATAGCAAAGCGCAGATGCGCGTTAACCTCGAATAATAGGGGATTACCGGCGAGGTACGTTACTACTAAACGCCCGGTAAAATATTTATATTACCCGCTTCCCATCTGTGCAAGAGTGTGCGACCGCCATCTTATTAGAATAGGAAATAATTCGTTAATTTTATACTAACCATAATTACCGGTAATTTACTTAAGTAGAATTAAGACGGTACTAACCGTGCCACAATTAGTTCCAGCGTTTAATAGCTGTCATCATTATAAACTGGGCTGTTATCTTCGGTGAGTTTTATTTACCGTTTCCGATTGCGGTTAAAAAGACTATTAGAAAACACAATCGTCAGCAAAATTTATTTAGAATTGAAACGAGGAATGGGGGAATCACAATGAATTTCTTCGCATGTTATTTATTTATTGTTGTATTACCAAAATTGTTGAACGTTCCCTATTCTCTGGGATGTTTGCAGTAAAATGATTTTAAAATTAGTACAGTGAATTTCGGTAAAGACAAACCCAGTTTGGTTAGCTTTTTTCTGCATCAAACTCTCACGGTGCGTTGATATTGTTCACCATAGTTTGGTAATACTTCAGTTTACATATATGGAGAGATGGGTCATTAAGATTCTTTAGTTGTTTGGTTTCCTTAATATCTATTTGTTTAAATTAATTTCGATCCCATTTTTTATAAATTGGTCCTTTTGGAATTATTTCTGCTGCCAATCAGGAATGGTATTGAAAATATTTTACTACTCTGAATCACTGATATTGCCAGAATCACTAGAGACTTTATCGACATTGCTAATAAGTGGAAGGAACTCTATTCATTGCTTGTTCCCTGATATACCACTCGCTGAAAATAAGAGTAAGAGAAAAAAAGAGCAAAAAATAATTTTTGGGAAGGTCCATTCAACATGCCAACCATGCTAATCCTGCAATTAACCGAAACTGTTAAATTGACAGCTGTTAAAATGTGATATTATTCAGACACTTTGTTAATTCGTTGCCTCGCAACCCGCCTTAGCTTTGATTTTTATTATGGCCGCCATATTGGAAAGATCTTAAAATTTCCAGTTCCAAAAGTTAGGTCTTAATTATTTTATTTAGGGTTAACATTAATAAGTAACATAAAAAAAACGCATAAACGCATTCAATTTTCAATATAACACTTGAATAATCTACTAACACTTCAATAACCTACAAGTTCGATACAAATTGAAAAAGAAAATTGCGACAGAAACAATATACAGGTAATGTATTGTAAATTCTGATTTTGCGTAATGACGTCCATTTGCATGGTGACATTTTTGGCAAATCGTGGGTTTTCATATAACCCTACCAAGTGTATTTCTGTTAATGTTTCTAAATGTGTTCAAAACTCTTTGTTTCAGGGTCCAACATGGAAAATTTTGAATGTGGAAAAAAGGTGACCAATATATCAAGGCCTATTTATAAAATAATTAAAACCTAACTTTACGAAGTGAGATAAAATCTTTTGTGCACTTGTGAGACATCACTGAACTGGAAATTTTACGAATTTCCCAAAATGAAATGGAAAATGAAAGTTGAGACACGCTATCCTACTCGTCTTGAAGAAGTGTCTCAAAAATGTGTCATTTTGACGGGTGTCAATTTAACCGTTTTGGTTAGTTGAAGAAAAATTGAAAGTGAAATTATAAATGAAAGTTGGGGCACGCTATCTTACTCGTCTTCAAAAAGTGTTTAAAAAATGTTACATTTTGACAGATGTAAATTTAACCGTTTCGGATTTACCGGCGAAAAATGAAATGCGCCATGTTCGTTTTTTTGCCCATATTTTCTCGCCGATAAGAAAAATTGAAAGTGAAATGAAAAACGAAATTGAGACGCGCTATCTTACTCGTCTTGAAAAAGTGTCTCAAAAATGTCACATTCTGACGGGTTTACGACAACGAAATGCGCCATTTTCGTTTTTTGCCGATATTTCCCAAAAAAATCTAATATGGCGGCCATAAGAAAAGTTGAAAGTGATAATTGAGACACGCTATCTTACTCGCCTTGCAAAAGTGCCTCAAAAATGTCACATTTTGACAGTTGTCAATTGAACCGTTTTCTAAGTTTCCTCTAACATTCCAATGATTTAACCGTTGCTGTAGATATAATGGTAGCGGAGATCTCTGTACAGAGAAGCGAATCTGGGACACCTGGTATATTAGTTTCAGACTTGTTGCAATTCTAGTTAACCCCGAAATGAAACACATTTTGCCCACTGAGATATCAGTTACTTTGAAAAACGACATTTTTACTGAGCATGCGCACTGGTGTACTTCACAGACATGCCAAAAGATGGCGCTGCAAACTATATTTTTGGGCTCATTAAATAAAAAGACTTATGTCATTTTCTATAATTGTAGCGCTTGGACGCTATTTTTGGGTCTCAAAATGTTCTAACCAAAACAAAACTTTTATTGTTGCTCAAAATACATCCTGGCCAACCAAAAACTTAAGGTTTTTTTTTTAATAAACGATAAGACTTACTTCGTCAGCGTTTCCAAGGAGGAGGTGTAAATGGTGCCTCCCACGTCTATATGCACCGGAGCCGTGTACCGAGAAGCGGCCGCGACGCATGGGATGCCCGCCATTTTGCCGTAACTGACAGCCACGGCGGCGGCGGCGCTCGACGGCGGCAGGGGCGGAGTCGGCGACGACGAGTTTGACATCGTCGGCGAGGTGGCAGGCGAACTGCTCGGTGACATTAATCTGCGAATATAAAGAAACATAAAGTTATACAAACTTTATGTTTGTTAATGTTAAACAAAAAAAAACTGTTTAAAGAAGGTAAAGAATCAAAAGAAAAGGGAAGTAACTAAAAAAAAATTCGTATTATTTTAGTGTAATACTATTTAGAAACCGGCTGGCTCGTATTCTGCTCTGTACCTGCGAAAATAAGAATATCCATAGAAATCTATAAGGAACCAAACAATGTTAAAGGCGACTTACCAATATGAGAAAGAGTCATCCCAGAGAAGTATATAACCAGGTACAGAATAGAATGCGAGTCAGTTCCAGTTCAGTTCTGAAGCAGCCAACAGGATGATTTTCGCCACTTTATGATAATAATAACAATTTATTGACGTTAACAACCCTACGGTTTTACACAAAGCCAGCAAAAACATTGAGCAAAATCTACATATATGTGTAATTACAATTATAAATATATGTATAATTGTATACATATATGTATACAATTATACATTGTGTATATGAATAATTACAATTACAAATTACCGCGACATAACAGAGAAAGCGCTAACCATTATTAAAATTGGTAAAAAAGTCATCAAATGAGTAATAGGCCCAATTCAGCAGAAGTGATTTGACCTTAATAGAGAATTGTCTCTGCGGCAGCTCTCTGACGCTTAGAAGCAATAGATTGAAGAATTTAGTTCCATAATAGTTCTTATAAGTTCTACTCTTTGCAATTCTTGAGTAGTTAATCAACATATCATTTCTGTTTCTGGTGAAATGGTGACAAACATTAATATGAAGGGATATTGATACTGGTTGCTTTTAGTATACTTTAATGCCGAATAAATATAATAGCATGGAACAGTTAATTTTTGGAGATCTTTAAACTTTGCTCTTACGTCATCGCCCTAATGGCGCGCCCCTGTATCGAAAAAACCCTTTCGGTATGCGAGGAGTGCCTGTAAACCATAATTGCGTAGCTAAATAATCACTGAAAGAGTGAAAAAACCGCGCAAGAAGTACACCACCCTGGAGAGGTTCTCACAAAGACCAAACTGGGCCGGAGACAACAAACGGTTGTCCTCGAAGTAAGCTGCTAATTGAGAATATAGAATCTTTTCAATAATTTTACCAATTGTGGGGTTAACGGATATTGGACGATAGTTATTTATATCATTTACATCACCCTTTTGAAAACATCAGCAAGTGCGATTTAATTTAGGATTTGTAAAATAATCGAAAAAGAAATCGTAATAAATAATTATAAAAACATATAGACATTATATACCGGGTGACACACGAAAGTGGGAACACTTTAACTTTCAAACGGCTTGAAATAGCGATTTGAATTTTGGAAGTGTTAATATAGACCGCATGTCCGATTTTCTGACAATATGTAGTCAATGGTTGCACTTCCGGTTTGAGCGGAAACGACGGTAATTTTCAAATTTTAAAAGGCACAACCTATATTTTTTGCATTTTTGGATTCAGGAGATCATTCTACGTAGGAAAGAATGGTTTTTCTCACTTTTGTTTTAAATTTTTATTTAATTTTGTGTCTAGGAGGCTGTGACCATCATAAATACTATTGACGGGTCACCTGACCAATTTTAAATGAAACTTTTCTTTACTTGTCTAAGCCTTTAATGTGGTGAACTATAATTTTTTTACCATAACTTAGTTTTTTTCAAATAGCACCCTAATGAGAACAATTTTTTTTTAAAAGCGGTACTTTTTTTACCATATTTTCACGCCAAAATGTTCAAAATCCCTTAAAAAATAAGCTCACAGGAAGGCAAAAACCAGATAAGTAAATACATTTCTATAAAAACAAAAGATTACTTAGGTGGCTTTGCTTCTATTCATCATCAAGTCGGCATGATTGAAAATTCTGACAGTTACCATTTTTCCCATGATCAGCTGACCCGGTAAATAGTATTTGTGATAGTCACGGCCTCCTAGACACAATTTTCAAAATATAAATAAAAATTAAAAAAAAAGAGAAACACCGTACTATCCCACGTAGAACGATCTCCCGAATCCAAAAATGCAAAATATCGTTTCCGCTCAAACCGTGACCATTGACTACATATTGTCAAAAAATTTGACATTCAGTCTATATTAACCCTTCCAAATTTCAAATTATGTTCCCACTTTCTTGTCTCACTCGGTATACATATATTATTTAAGGGTTTAATTGGGACGCATTCGTCAATAATAAAATTATTGCCACAAATCAGAAATATTTATTTATTCTGTTTAGAACAAACGTTGCTCTTGTCTTTTCTCGACGATATTGCCGGTAATTTGACTCGTAGGTATACGCGAAAATTTGCATGAGAACAATCGGCGGCCTTGCGATAATTGCTCGAGTTGCGATGACATTTAACAATTCGCATCTAAATCGTCGGTTAAACAACCGCCATCCGTTATGGAATAAGTCACTAAACAGTTGAATTGAGATTAAGATCAAATAAACAACATATACGAGGGCAGCGCCAAAATTTCCCGGCCTGAATATGAAAGAAACAAGGTATAGTAACAATTTTTTATTATTTTTCAATAAAATCCCCCTTAACTTCAATACATTTATTATATCTCTTTATTAACAGCCTCTTTTAACTCAACTTCGTCGTTAAACTGCCGTCCACGTAAGTCCTTTTTCAAATATCCAAACAAATAATAGTCGCTGGAGGCCATATCTGGACTATAGGGAGGATGATCTATCTGTTGGAAGCCACACTCTAAAATGGCAGCTTGTGCAACACCAGCAGTATGGACAGGTGCATTATCGTGCAAAAACACATACGCCTCTGGTCATGGTTATGTAATAATGTTGCGTAATATTTACCATTGACAGTGGTATTAGTTTCTTTAAAATTTATCAAAAGAATTCGTTCACAATCCCAACAGACCGTGGCCATCACCTTTTTTGTTGACTGGCAGACTCTGAATTTTCTTGGAGGTGTTTCACCTTTGCGACCTCACTGTATTGATTCTTTTTTCGATAGAGGGTCATAATAGAGAACCATAGTTTCATCTCCCGTCACAATAGTTTCTATCGCAGGCTTCGGTTCCGACCCAGAGAGTTCCAAAAAAGACCGCGTACACTCGACACGGCGTTGTTTTTGAATAGCCGAATGGTTTTTAGGAACCCATCTTGCACTAACCTTATGCATACCTAAATGATCATGCAGGATTCGACGAAAGCTTAGTCATTTCTGGGGTTTCGTTGACCTTTAAACGTCGATCACTCAATACCACCTCTTCCACAATCGCAAAAATATCTTCCGTTATGACCTCCACTGGTCGACCAGTCCTTGAATCATCTTCAAGGGACTCCTGCCCCATTCGAAAACGTTTTGCACATTCTTTCACTACAGAATACGAAGGATAACTTTGGCCGTACACACCAACCAGCCTTTCTTTAATAATTTTAGGTGCTAACCCTTCATTTGTCAAAAAAAAAGACAAAGTTTTATCGTGATACTTTAGCTGCGTCTGTCAGGCCGGGAAATTTTGGCGCTAACCTCGTACTACACGAAGTTTATTTATTTACCTAGGTTTGTTGACACTGGCCATTTGCTCACTTTGTTTTAAATTTTGAACAATAACGTGTTCGCCAATAATCATCATTTTTCTGTTTGAGGGCTGGTAAATCTGTTTTGTGTTTTTTTTTTAAATAGGAGTTTGATGAATAAAATTGTATTTGATGTTCTAGACCAACATGCAATTCGTAACAGTCTGCTGTTATTATAATAATTAAAAATAGCTCATTATAACCTAAATGTATAAGTAAATATCGAATGTCAGTTTTTCAATAGAGTTCTACTTGTAGTTAGTTTCAAAATATTTAAAAAATTCACGTAATTACCACGTTAAAAAGTAAGTGAAAATGTCAGCATTTATTTACAGTTTGTTACAGTTAATTTTATTTTTATAACAGAAAGAGTGACACAAGAAAGAATAATTACAATGGCATAGATTTGATTATAAAATATAAACTTTAATTTATACACTATATTAGGACTGAATACTTTTGTAATTCTGTAATAATTTAAAACAAAATCATTTGCGCAGGCGTGACTATTTTTGTACTCCTAGGTAATTATTAATGTTTTAAAGATTCTTTATAAAATAAGTATAAAAAAAAGATTGTTTATTTTTGCAGTTCTAGTTAATTCTAAAATAATTATTGTTTTTTGTATACCAAAGATTAATGTGATTAAAAAATATTTTGGTATTTAGAAAAAACTCTCGAAAGATTTATTTATAAATTAAGAAAAAAATTAATTCTAGTCAGAAGGATAAATTTTACTTGAAAACAAATGGTGTCAATGTTTGGGAACAAATAGTAAACTAGGACTGCCTGCTTTTGATAAGCCTAGCTAATTATAAGTTAGTTTAAAAAATTCATTTGAGAAATTGTTTTTCTATTATAGAACATATGAGTGACGATTTTTGTAATCCTACATAATTGTTAATGTTTTAAAGACCAGATTAAAAACCTGTTAAAAGAAATAGAAAAAACTAATTCTATCTAATTATAAAAAAAAAATAGATTAGTGTGCTTCAAAAATGTTAAGATTTCAAGTTTTTATTTCATAAATTTTAGTTAACTATAAATATTTTAAAAGTTCCTTTAAAATCAGGTTTTTAAAATTGAAAAAAAGTCGCTGGATAGTTAAAAACAAATTTTATAATTATAAAAAAAAATTATGTCATAAATGTCTGCTTCCTGATATAATATCAATTTTTACATAGAGTACAAATGTGTATTTTTCCAATCCTAGGCAATTACAAAATAATTTCAAATTTCTTAAATATCGCCTACAAGCTGCATATAAAACAATGTCGACATTTGGGCACAGATACTGCTATACAGATATAAACTATAAAATAAGTTGGGAACTTGTTTTTTGCATAATAGAAGATTAGGTTAAAGACAATTATATTACTGTCAATTTTTGTAATTATTAATGTTTTAAATATTCCTTTAAAAGCGAATTTTTATAATAGATTAAAAAATATAATACGATTAACAAATCTTCTGGATTCCTCCTGCGTCGGTTATTTATAAATGAAACTTTCTGAAACAAGTCAACAGGGTGATTGGCGAAATATCAGCAAATTTGATTTATAAATTACGATACTATTAATTTTATTTTAGAATATTTGGGCTAAGGTAAGACTAGCACTGCCAATATTTCTAATTTTAGTAATATGTCAACAAGATCGAAATTTTCGTAGCTAACGCGCAAAATTTAATTGAAAAAGTGCACAAATTACACGCGGCAAACAACTTCCAGTTCGAGCCGACACACGATTAGCGGAAAAAATGTAGCACAGAAAACGGTTTTGCCGCGGCAAATTGCAAAATTGACACAACATACGTTAAAGTTTACATTTAAATTTGTTTAGCACCCCGGGCCGTATTACGTACGTTTTCTATGAAAATTAGCCTATAAATTATGCGGCGTGTTAAAAAATCGCACCAGCCTTGAAAAACGTTTTTAGCTCGGTCGCGATTGCTTTACCTCATTTTTATTTGAGCACTCGGGAACATGTTCCTGCTCGTTAAGTCTTTGGGCTCTTTGTCGACGTCGTTACGCAGATCAGTCTTCTTCCTGCAACCAGAGAAACAACGTTAATTGACCAGGCGTTACGTCGTAGGCAGCCAATACGCAAATGTACGCAGTTGCCAAGTTTAAAGTTATCATAGTATTTACTGCGTAGAACATACCGATATTAAAAATATCGGTACGTTCTACGCAGTAGAACGAATGTAATTATTTTCAATCATTTTTTAATACACTTAATGTGATTATATATTTAAACATCTAGTTTTGTTATTAAGATGAAAATATAAATTTAGATTTACCTGAAATTTATTTCAAGAGAATTATTTTAACATAACCTAAATTCCGCAAGAAAACAAAAATACTTTTAACAAATGCAAAAACTTATAAAAGAAGATCTCTTCTTCTTTGAAGCAATTGTTTTAGAAATGTTGTTATTTATATTTATAATTACTTTCAACACCGAAATACAAAATTTTTTTAATTCAATTAAAATTCTAATTCTAAATTTTGTATTGTATTGCGCTTTCATCACTGAGAAACGAGATCTAATTATATGTTCATGAAAAATGTATTTCTTAACATGAGCACCAGAGTATTTAGCATTGACACACCATTAAGAAACACCTTGTGTATTTTCGAAAATGAAAAATCAAAATGCTTATTTTGATCTATGTTTTCCTAGAAAGTCAATTAAATGGGCAAGTTAGTATTGATTAATGTTGCTCACAAAAAAAAATGAAAAGGCTACACTCAGATTCCAAAATTCACGAACTCGATAGGATCGCATGCTGGATAGCCTAATATGGGAAACCATATTGAAAGAAGAAGATCATCTTAATTAATTACAAATTAGATTCCGTCATATCATATGCGTAAACGGCATCGTTCCTCGAAAAATACAACTATAAATACATTTGGTTGGCATTTATAAAACAATGATCAACTTTATACTGAGAAAACGGAAAATTTTTGACATAAATTGACGATCGATCACGATATTTGATAAGTGGTTTGAAAACCTGAACCTTTAGGCATAGTTTGCTACACATATTAGTTTTGGTTTGTTTAGTAGTAGTTATGGTAGCAACGATGTGGTTTAAAATTTGACATTTCACAAACAACGAAAAGTGCATTTTTTCATGTTTAGTATTTATAGTTAATAAATAGCATTTACATACAACACCATAAAACCTATAAATTCTAAAACATTGACCACTTATCAATGGCGTCTGCACAACGCAGTACATAGAACTAATAACATAGATATATACTTAATTAAGATAGATGGAACTGTTCACTTTTTCACGTGGTGGTTGACAATGTTGCCAACTGCTGACCATCGCTCAATAAGATTTCGTAGATTTGCAGAAAATAAAGTCCTTAGACCACAAGCTGCAATTTATGAAAATATTTAATCCTGAACCTTTTCGACCACAAAAATCCAGGTAATTGACTTATCTAAATTTAAATGTTTCATTTTCTGTCTCATCAGAGTTTCTAACTAACCAAAAAATCACTTTTATACTACATTAGTGTAAACGGTTTGTGTAATTAGCTCAAAAGGAAATTAAAGTTGTTTGCAAAGATATTTCGTATTTAAATAATTATGAACTTATGAACTCTACATCAATATCAACTCTACTGCACTTAAGGGAAGATTTTTAATGGAGATAGAGGAATATGCAAGCATTATGTAAACACACGGTGTTGTCGAAAAGATTGTCATATCAAAAAATGTATAATTTCGTGAAAATCTGAACTTTTAGTTCTTATTTATTTTGATAAATGAATTTTCATTATGTAAAAGCCACCTCAGTTCAATTATTACTATTATGTTTGAAATCAGTTACATGGTTACCATGGCAACCATTCATACTTCACCGCCCGCCTCCCTCGCCTAAATGCATTTATAGCTATTACAACAATGACAATTTTATGAATTATTTAGGCGGTCTCTTTTTGTAAGAAGCGGAGACGCCGCGTGAAATTTCAGACCGACGTCCTTCGGTTACGCAAATGACCAAATATTCGTCTTCCGTTTAAGCAATCCGACGACCTGTCAAATGAAAATCACTATGGCGTCCCAGGACAAACAAGCAAAGTAAATAACCTTTCTTTGCAAACAAAACTGTTTCTTGAATAATCCAAACGTCGAATAACCTAAACTAAATGGATCTAAACCATCATCATCTCATATAAACAAAAAAATCGCATTTCATAATGGAAACAACACCAACGATTTTACAGTTTTTTAATATTACCTTTCACCAATATTGGAATCACTAATATCTTACATTCAATAATGACTCTCTATCTTAAAGTAATTAACACAGGCTGCAAAAATCGATTTGAACCTTCAAAATTCACCACACATTTGGGTGGTTTGGATTGCCTAATTCGTGAAAATAATTGTGAGGTTAGGTTTTTACGTGGGTTAAAATAATTACTCGCTGACGCACGCTTATATTCAAAATATACAGACGAGTCAAATTAGGCAGCGTGGTCTATTGCGGTTTCATACGCGGGGATGACCGGCTGCCCGCCCAACGTTATGGCAGCAAACCGTATAAAAGGCCGCGTAGCCACTTTGAAAAGCAAACACGGGCAGGTTAATTGACGACGGGGGACTAAATTACTAACCAGCAAAACGCCACTGGCCAACCGTAAATAAATATAATAGACACAAAAGGATAATTCTAATTACTTTTCGCAGTGACCAAGGCGAGGTCTCTCGAAATGTAACGCACACTCAGGACCGGACTCGTCGCGCCAACCCCGTGACTCTTCGTGCAACAGGAACAAATAAAGAAAGTCATAATAATAAATATTTTTTTAAATTAAGAAGTGTCGCTACAAAACTTTTATACAGGTATCGGGTAGTTGCGATAAGCACAACCAAATTGAAGAAAGAATTGTTGGCGATTGATATTCCAGTAAAAGCCCTTTTTGTACAGAATAGAATTTTGTTTTTTGGGGTTATATTGACACGGACAAATCATTCATAAAATTGCTGCTATCGTGATGTCAATATAGAGGAGTGATGCGTAGATAAGAATGGTCGCTATGGTAACCACGTATATTGGGAAAAAATAAGTCCCGAGGGGAGCGAGGAGCGTGTGAAATTACAACAATATTAACAATATTAAAATTGTTAGAATTACATAAAAAATAGTTACAATTAAATAAGCTTAGCAAACACATACCAAAACTTTCTTCGCATAATGAAGGTGGGAAACAGAATATCATCGCCTTTCAACATATCGAAGGGGCTAAAGCAAGGTTATTGTTTGCAGACGATCAGGTACTTATAGCGAATGATGAACACGACATTGAGTATATAACGAGGAAACTGATGGAAGAATAATCGAAATGGGGACTCAAAATAAACACATCTAAAACTGAACATCTATTGGTCGGAAGATGCCTTTCAAACATAAAACTCGGAAATAGTAGAGCCCGTAGCTATATTATTGAAGACGGAAACACCGAAAAAGATGTTTATAGCGGAATTACACAAGGTCGTAGAGCGATTCAACAACTGAACTCCATTTTATGGTCACAAAATATCACAAGGACCACGAAAAACTATTATTCAACCCGTCACCACACATGGATCAGAAAATTGGCAAATAACATCTAGAACGAAAGAACGACTCAAAGCTGTAGAAATGGAATTTTTGAGACGAGCACCCAGAATATCCCGATTGGAACATATCCAAGCCGAGAAAGAGCAGGTATAAAAGAGGGTATTTTACATAAACAGAGTGGACAGACATAGGTGGCCAAGAAGACTTCTAGAATATCTTGGACAGAAGGAGTTCGAAAGTCCGTGAGAAAAAGAGAAATGAAGAAGAGGATTGCCGCAATAGAGAAATCTGGAGACTCAAGTGCGAGAAGCGGCTAAGGCTGTGGAAGCCCTTCTATATATATATATACATATATAAATAAAATTAGCACAAGCACAAATACACAAAACAAAAAAGTAGGTACCTATGAAAGACGTCTTCTATTTGTTTACCCCCCCCCCCAAGTAGCCCATGGCTGAAAGAGATAGAGCAAAAAACATTTGGATTTGTCTCAGTTCTAAAATAATATTCACCATCACTAAGCTTTGCAGTTACGGGTTTCCCGGGTTAAGACATAAGTGACCTTATTCGAATTCAGCAGACAGATATTTAATCTCGTTTTCTCGAATTAATATTTTGTTGTTAACATAAATGTTAACATCGAAATTTAATTACAAATACAAAATTTTGACTTGTCCGTGTTTATACAAAGGTTATTATTGCGTGGCCATTCAAAAGCATTTTTCAGATCAGCATTCATTTTTCTTTGCATTTCATCCACATTTTCACCCGCAATGAAAATCATAGTGTCATCCGCAAATAATACCGCTTTAGTATCATCTGAAGTATTTACAATATCGTTTATATACATAAGAAACAACGATGGTCTCAAAATTGTCCCCTGAGGAACACCATGTTCTACAGTTATGCAATCAGATATGCAATTTTTATATGTCGTTTTTTGTACTCTATCTGTTAAAGATAAAGATAAAGATAGCTTTATTTCCATATGACCTGATTTACAAGTGTTCGATATTGTCAGCATAATGTAAAAGTATACAATTATCTTAGTATAATTAGTAAATTAATAATAATAATAACAATAAGTAATACTTATGGATAAATAACAAATATATAAACAATAACAAACAACAAATACGTATTAAAAGGTATCACAACAAAGAAAAAAAAAAATAGGCGAAGCGTAGCAATTTATCTTTAAGAGTGCATTTCAATTTGGTTTGACTAGTTATCCCCTTCAGTTCGATAGGCAATTTATTATAAATTTTTACAGTCAAAACAAAGGGACTATTTGCTGTAAGAGACAGTCGATGTGTAGGTAAGGTATTTTTATGTTAAGATTCGGTCTTAAATTGTACTGAATATCTGAGTTTCTTGAGGGCATGTAAAGATTAGACTTACTTTTTACATACGTGGCACAATTTAGTATGTACATACTAGGAAGAGTGTTGTGGAAAT